AAGTCGCGTTACACACATGCTAATGAGGTGTGTCTGGGCTCCATAAAAGCAGGTTGCTTGGAGACATTGGCAGACCAACATTTCACCCGTGCTTGGTGTACATCGTTTTGCGTTGCAGACATTTTCAGACGGAAAGAGTTGCTTCCCTTACACTGTTCAAGTCGACTCATTTGCTACAAGACTCTTACTTTTTCCTCTCAGTTGGGGCAATTAGATAATTTCCTTTCATCCAGTTGTTCATTTGTTCACATGCTAAACTCGACTTTGTCAATATCTTGTTCATCTATCTGGAGCAGCCACTAACATACGTTAAGGCCTGATTTTGCACTTTGTGGATATGAGGTTATATACAACTATACAAAATATTTACTACATAGGTGTGTCTAGAGCAGGGTTTCCCAACCTGGGTGATATTGCTCACTGGTGGGTGCTAAGGATACCATAGACTGAACATATGAGGAACAATGAGGTCTTGGAGAGGATGTAAACAAGGAGGAAGCTTATACTTAACATCAGGAAGAGGCATCTGAAATTTCTGGTGCATGTAATGAGAAAAGAAGGCTTGGAGAACCCGATACTCACAAGGTGGATAGAGGGGAAAGAGTGACAAGGGAAAGCAATGCATGATATACTTAGCAAGCTTAAGCAAGTAGATGGCAGAACAGGTTCTGGGAGAAGTAGCAAAAGAACAAAATATTTTGAGAATTACAAGGGATAGTGGGGGAAGTAGAGAGCTATGATTGTCTACGTCCTGAAGGGACACAGCACATAAAAGAAGGCAGGTGATTTCAACTGTTGGGTTGGCAATGAGCAACTGAACAGAAAATGGTGGGTAATTGGAAATTTTGGTGAGTGATATAGTATTTTGAGTATTAATAAGTTATTTAAACATATGCTGTCTGAAAAAAAATATTCAAATGTGATATGCAAAGAACCTGTATAAAAAGAAAAAGACAGGAGGTGAAATGGGAATAACTGGGTAACATTCCTAGATAAGACATAAATATCCTTGCAAACAACAAATATTTTGATATTTTATAGTTATGAAAAGAGTCCTTGAACATTCAAATAGTTCTTCAGATAAAATAACATTTTTTTTTTAAATATAAATCAGATAAGGGAAGACCAAGAACAACAAAAAATATTTGCTGAATTTTTATTAGTTGCTAGAAATGTATATTCATCATGATTTTATAATTATGAACAAAAATCGTTTAAATGCTCGTGAACATTTGCAGCACTAACCCTAACCATAATACTAAATTTTGAGTGCAATGGATAAATTGTGCTCTAAATTACACAAAAATGAAAATAACACTGACATCTCATTTTAACAGATATATTTACCAAAATTACATAAAAATATCTTGAAATACTAAAGAGTAAATTTATTCAATAAAATCACCATTGGCTTCAACCACAGCCTGCAGCCAACTTTGCAATCTCCTAAAACTTTTCTGGATGATCTCTTGTTTAAGTTAGTGAATGCTGCCATAATCCTTGCCTCCAGTTCATCTTTGGTGTTACAAGGAGTTTTGTTAGTCTCTCACTCAACTGTTCCCCACACATAATAATCAAGGGGGTTGCAGTCTGGAGAGTTAGGTGGCCAGATGAAAGGAGTAACGTGATCACAAAAATTGTGTGGCATAGTGCAGAGTCCTGTTGCCATACATAATGCCATCCTCTTGATCCAAGGCAGCAATACCTTCTCAAGGCACTTGATGTATGTATCTGAGTCTCAGGCCCTCACCAACAAATTCAGGAGTTCTTTTCTTATCAGAATGGTCAGAATGAGTTTTCCGAGCTGTTGTTCCCTCATAATCATCATTAGACTCATCCATCTCTTTCTGAAACCTCTGTTACTGTCCTCAGATTTTCACCCAAACATTCTGAAATGATCATATTGAAGATTCCTGTGCAAATCCCAAGCAGTACAGCATGGCATTTCCAAGATATCTGGCAGAGTGAATTGCATCATGGTGCTTTTTTTCTCAAAGATGGTGCCTAACTGTCACTACTGTTCTGTGCAGTTGATAAAATCCAAAACAAACAATGCATATGCATGAAATTAAAAATATAAAATGGTGACAATTTACCCATTGCACCCTCTCTGTATGTTTGTGTATATATATATATATAAATAAAGTGAAGATTAAAGTCAACACTCAGAGGCGAGAGGCTGTTTCATGTTAGACGTAATCATCAGGCCTGACGATTGAAACAGCCTGTCGGCTCTGAGTGTTAACTTCAATGTTCACTTTTATATGTATATTTACATACGCTCTAGCTCTGATATTGAGCACTTTATCCCATAAATACTGCACACCTTAAAACTATATTTCTTTATATATGTTGTCTGGAAAGTTCATGCCGATTTTTAGTCATTCATGTTAGAACATGTCAAAATTATCGACAGATATAATATCCTTACATTTATGATTAGAGCAGAATTTAAACTATCTCTTGAGACAAAAAGTTTAAAATTACTTAATTTGTGTCAATTTTGCATCCCTATGAAAATGGAAGATTATAAGGTGCATTTTACAAACTTGATGGCCATTTTTAACCATAAAGGCAAAAATGCCTCGCAAGCAACAAAAAAAGATGTGTGCTATGTTCAGTGAAGGTGCTTTAGCTGATAAAACTGTATGGAAGTCATTCACTAAGTTTAGAGTTGGTGATTGTAGTCTTATTGATGAAGAATGCTCAGGCAGACCCCCCACTACAGATGACGACCAAATCAAGACATTGATTGAGAATAAGCTGCATTACACAATGCAGGAATTGGTAGAAACACTAAATTTATCAAAATCCACCATCTATGAGCACTTGGTGAAGCTTGGGTACTCAAATTACTACAATGTTTGGGTAGCACATGATCTGAGTGAAAAGAATCTTTTGGATTGCATTTTATTTGCTATTTTCTGTATAAATGCAATGAAAATGCATCCCTTTTGAAGCAAATTGAGACAGGTAATGAGAAATGTATCATTTACAACAATGTTCAGCAAAAAATGTCCGGGGGCAAGTGACATGAGCCAACTTTAGCCACCTCAAAAGCAGGTTATCATCCTAAGAAAGTTATGCTGTTCATCTGGTGGGATTGGAAAGGAATCCTGTACTATGAGCTTCTGCCAAGTAACCAGTCAATTGATTCTGAAAAGCATTGTTCACAACTGAATGAATTAAAGGCAATAATTCATGAAAAATGCCAGAATTGGCAAACAGGAAAGGTGTTGTTTTCCATCAGGATAATGCCAGACCTCATGTTTGTTTGGCGGCCTAGCAAAAATTATTGATACTTGGCCGTGATGTGTTACCCCACTGGCCATATTCACCAGACATTGCTCTTTCAGATTTTCATTTATTCAGGTCCTTGCAAAATAATATCAATGGTAAAAATTTTAATTCTTTGGATGACATAAAACACCGCAATGAGTTCTTTGCCAAGAAACCACAAAAATTCTGGGAAGATGGAATCTTTAAGTTAAAGGAAAAATGGAGAAAGGATATGCAACAAAATGGTTTATATTTAGTTGAATAAATATTTAATGGCATAATTTTGTTTTATGTTTTAATTTCCCTTAAAAATCGGCATGAATTTTCCACACAACCCAATATATAGTTTTCAATGGTCAAGTTTGCTTTGGTTTGTTCTTTAAATATGGTAGTAGCAGCAGCAGCAACAACAACAACTGCCACATAAGTCGCTTTGGTATTTTTTACTACATCATATATATGAACCAGTAACAAAGTTTTTCCAAACAATCTTGGTATGCTTTTGAATATTTACTATACAGATAGGCAGTGACAAAATTTTCCATTTGAATGTAGGCAATGGTGCAAAAAAGGTTGGGAACCCTTGGTCTAGAGGGTATATTTTGGCCTCCTTCCCCTTTCACAAAAGTTGTAATAACCTTTTTTTTTTTTTTTTGATGAGTTATATGTTGCTGCAAATAGGTGATGGTTGTTTATACAATTATTAATGAATGGGAATTATTATAAAAACATTTGTGCCTAAAATGTGACTGCCAGATTTTTAGATTTCTTTTGTTTTATGTAAGTATTATTTGAGCAAGTTTTGATGCTTCATCTACATATTGCTCATGGAAACTTAAAAAGAAAGGTATTGTCAGTGGTCAGGAATTAATGATAGAATAAAGCTATTACATATAACCTGTTTTATGATGTTTCACAACATAATGTTCTAGATAAATTTATTGCTGGGCTATGATTATACTATGTAAATCACAAAATAACTTTTATTACTTCTCTTTGTTCTCATAATAATAATAATAATGTTGTAGTAGTAGTAGGTGGAAGAAGAAAAGGTGGATGGAATTACAGCTAAAATACTAAGGATAATATACTGTGCTCATTGTTTTAAAATATCGTAATATGTAATGGATAACACCTTGGGATAAAAAACCTGAAAACCAAGTTCACATTCCAGTTGGGTTCATTACATTCACTTATGCACATACTCTTGGGAAAGGTATGAATCCATCTCTTCTCCTCCCAGCTATGGGTTAAATAGCAAGATTGACTGGGTCTTATAGCCTCGGGTGGCAACCAGCCTTTCGGCAACCTACTGTGGGAAAATCTTCTGCCTCATCAGTTATGAATCAAAAGAGATCTGCTCACCCAAGCGTGTATCATTTATGGCACTTAGCTGATTAAATGTTATAAAATCAATTGGAAAACTATTTTTGGAATTGTATAAAGAAGATATTTTTGTCTGCTTACCAACTCTCTTATACAACCAACCACACTTTTTGATTATTGCTAAGTTTTACAACTCTTGTGCTTACATTACTGTAAAGTATTTTATCTCTCCATATACACCATTGTCTTTTGAATGCATCAAATTACTATAAATATTTCTAGTCTACCTGTAATTGATAGGAGATAACATGAAATGATCAATGCTTTTCCTGAAATATGAATCTCTATTTCCTTGCCAAATTTTTAACCAGATATCCATTTAATTCTCATTATAGAGGCCTTATTCCACCGAATACTGACACATGCCATCCGCTGGTCTCAGGAATGTGGAGGATGTGAACCTTACTTGTATTACAGGGTTGCACGTCTTTTCCTTGACAGTGAACATGACTTTGTCTTGGAAATGATGCCCAGTTCTCATGCTAAGATCAAGGTGATTAAATTTATTCCTTTATATTGTTTTCTTCATGAAATTTACAATAGATTTTTTACCTTTTGAAGTTTCAGTTCGAGCCACATGAATCTTTATGCAAAACAGTATAAATACAAAACATAAAAAAAAAGTAATTGCTATTGTAATTTTTCTATTATTAAATTTGACGTTAATTTATTTCATTATATTTTTTATTAATGTTTAATAAATTTTAAAATTAATTATTAATGTGCATATAATAAGATACTATGTGTGTATGTGTAGATATATATATATGTGTATGTGAAAAGTGTGTGTGTGTATATATATATATATATATATATATATATATATATATATATATATAATACGTGCTCAATATCAGAGATAGAGCTAACATATTTGGTTGGATTGATATGAGTTTGTGACCCTGGGCTTTTGCGATCGTCAGAGTTTGTCTGCTGATCACAAAAGCATGAAAACCAGGGTCACAAACTCACATCAAATATAAACTATATATATATCCAATATATAATATATATATATATATATATATATATAATGAAATGGACAAAGTCTGACAATTATTTTAAGACATTTTTATGTTTAACATTCTTTTTAAATTCAGGCCGGTAAATGTTATTTAATACTGTTTATTATAAACAGAGCATTTACTTATATTTGTATCTATAAAAAGAATGTTAAACATAAAAATGTCTTTATATATGGCACACAAGTAAATTTGAATTAATTTAGTTTTTTCAGTATTCTTACATTTTTCTGTTTGGTGAGAGTAATGGAGTACAAGCTTTTTTCATGATGTCTATTGTCTTAAATGCTTTCAACCACTTATTTAGCCATTTTCAAGGGGGTTTTATTTTAGGTGTTGTTAGTTTCTCTTCAATTTTTGGCTGCCTGATTATGGAAAATTTTTATACTCCATTACTCCTGGCAAACAGAAAAATGTAAGAATGCTGGAAAAACTAAATATAAATCAAATATGTTGACTGTAACAGACAAGGAAAATTTGATGAATTTTTTTTTGAGTTTTTCTCATATGCTTAAATTTTTCCATTTGGTTGTGGTAAGGGAGTGTAAAAATTGTCCAGAGTATCTATTGTCCCAAATGCTTTCGGACACTACTTTAGTCATTTCTTTATTTAACAATGAAAACAATGTGCTAAAGATTTTTTTTTTTTTTTTTTTTAAATAGAAGAATGCCAACTTGAATTCCAGCCATGTTCCTTTTGCAGAGCTCTGAATAAATGCTACTATCATATAATATACATCACACAATTACATCTTAAATGACAACAGTGAAAAGAAATTAACAACACTTAACAACAATGGCCAAAAGTGGTGGCCGACAGCACTTAGGACAATAGATACTACAAACTATTTTTACACTCCCTTGTCTCCACCAAGCAGAAAAATTCATCAGTTTTTTCTTGTCTATCATATTCAATGAAATAGGTTTTATATATAATATATATATATATATATATATAGATAATATTAGTGGAAAATATACATACATATGCAAAATATATAAATACCCATACATGTATATTTTTAGAAAAAAAAAAATTCAAGAGGAAGAATCAGGTAGAACTCAATGTCTAGGACAGAGTAAGGATATAATAAAAAAGCTTAAACACTAATATTCCATGGTCATAATTTATTCCATTGGAATCGTAAATACGATCCAATTCATCAGACCTACAAATTCAAAAAGAAAACAGAAAAAAAACCACTCCGGAAATAAAAACAGAATTTAGAGAGAGTGTAAGTATGAGGAGGAGGGAGATTAAACCATAACAGAGAGAATTTTAGGAGAGATGGGTTGAAGGGGTTTAATTAAGAGAAAAAAATGAATGTTGACGGATGTATAATGCATAAAGATACATTTCGTGGTGACATACACACACCATAGACAATCTAATGTTAGAATAAGAGGGAGGGAAAGACGAGGTGGGGGAGAGAGATGGGACGAAGGAAAGTAAAATTGCGTTTACTTAAAGGGCTGCTTTGTAATTGAGAATATTTGACAAATTTAATATCGACTACAGGTTACAAATCAAATATAAATATATGAAGATAAATATAACAATTATCTAATCCAGCAAGGACCTATATTTCTATGTTCAAAAACACATGCGAATACACACAATAACATATACATGTATATATATATACACATAGGTGTGTACCCACATATACCCATGTACACACATATAAAAATATATTCACATATCCACACATACACATATTCATCTATATCCATATACACACACTTTTCACATACATATACACATGCACACACATACATACATATATATATATATATATATATATATATATATATATACATACATATATATATATATATATATATATATATATAATAATAAAACCAAAAATATAAAAATATATAAAAAAAATACATACACATACATACATGCATATATACATACATACATCCATCCGCATCCAGTCCTTCATATATATACACATTTACCCACATATATACATACGGACATACATACGTGCACATAAACATATATACCTAAAACCTTACATTTCTATATAATTATTTAAACAAATAGACAATGTATCCCTATATCTATCTGTCTAACTATATATACACATATATCTACGTACATATACACCCATATACAAATATATATGAGTACATACATACCAAAACATACACATCTACATATATGTCCATCCATCTACACATACATACATCCATATACGTATACATAAATATATACACATACATGTACATCCATACATACACATACATATACCTGTATACACACATACACACACAGCTAAGTATACACACATATATATATACATATATATCCACATACATACATATATATCTTACTTATTATAAAACGCAGATTGTGTGTGTGTCTGTAACGTTTATATATTGGATCGGATTTCCTACATTTTTTAGCCGATTTCAACAAAACTTCACAGGACTACATAAAATTACCTTGTGGTGGTTCTAACGGCGCCGAAAATGGAAAAAACACAATTGTTTTTTAACAAAATCAATTTGAAAACACGATTAAGACACATCGTGAGAATGAAAGGGGGACAACTCCCGTCGGGTTAAAAAACCCAGGTTGTTTGTGTGTCTTCCTTTATATATGGGATCTGATTTCTTACATTTTTCAGCCGATAAAACAAACATCCACTTTTTTTTTTTTTTGGCAGGTAGTGTTTCTTATTGTCTTGCACACTTTTTTCTTTATTTATACATTCAGAATGCTTTAAAAATCCCATTTACAAGACAATTGTTTATAATAAAATTCTAATCTAATTCTATTCAATCGGGGGACTCATCATAACGATTGAAAACAATGTTTTTGTTTGAGTTTGGGTTTGACCAATTCGTAAAAAAAAAAAAAAAAACTAAGACATGCGTGTCCGTCAACCTAAACAATAATCTAACTATCTCTACTGATTGTACGAATCGAAAAATCGGATAATTCTTTATCTTTAGGGAAAGATAATTCCACGTACTTTAGGGCCGTTTTTACAATTCCCTTTGCAATTTGTTACAAGGCAGATCAATAAGGCATTGGTTCTATTTGAAATTAATTCAATATTTAAAAGAAAGTATTAAGAAATAATTTAAAAATGCCGACGTAAGAAATCTGATAGACAATATTTCGAAGATGATAATTATTAAGGAAAAGAACACAATACTTGTAATAAATTAATAAACCCAAATAAAGTTAATATTTTTTGTATTAGAAACAACGAGTGGAAAATATATTCAAATCAGAATTCTAATTATGAATCACCACAAGCAAAATATGCAATTTTTTTTACTGTATTCAATAAGTAAAAATCATAAATTTTAAAAGATTACAGAGAAAGGCTACCTACATTTTTCAACCAATTTCAACAAAACTTCACTTTTTTTTGGCAGGTAGTGTTTCTTATTGTCTTGCACATTTTTTTCTTTATTTTTACATTCAGAATGCTTTAAAATTCCATTTACAAGACAATTGTTTGTAATAAAATTCTATTCAGCAATCGATAGACTCATAACGATTGTAAAAAATGTTTTTGTTTGAGTTTGGGTTTGACCAATTCATAAAAAAAAAAAAAAAAAAAACTAATTAAGACATGCATGTCCGTCAACCTTAAACAATAATCTTTGTCAATTTTATTTTTCAGTCTTTATGATGGTTGATACTTGATCCATCTCTTACTGTTACATCCGGCAACGCTTGGCTCTACTACTAGTATATATATATATATATATATATATATATATATATATATATATATATATATATACATACATACACACACACACACACACACACACACACACATACATATATATATATATATATATATATATATATATATATATATATATATACACATACACATGTATATATACATCCACACACATATATATGCACACATATACACATACACATACATACATAAACACCTCCATACATACATATATACATACATACATACACACACATATATATATATACATATATATATATATATATATATATATATATATATATAAAATTAAAATTTAAAATCTAAATAAGTAACATTTCAAACATTTGGGCATGTAAAAAAAAAAAAATATATATATATATATATATATATATATATATAAAAATACATAGCGCATCACATAAACGTACACAATGATACATATAGAGATAAACATAATAAACATAATAGACATTCCATTAAAATGTCATGCCCGATGTTATTGGACTAAGATGGAACTGACATAAGTGACAACATGTTACAAAACGGTGTTCATGTTTTGAATCATTTCTTATGTCTACATTTAGAGAATATCTCATTACGAAGATGCATGCATGCATGTATGTGTGTGTATGTATTTTTTGTATATTTTTATATTTGTTTTTTATATATATATATATATATGTATATATATAATATAATAAAAAGGCTTAAACACTAATATTCCATGGTCATAATTTATTCCATTGGAATCGTAAATACGATCCAATTCATCAGACCTACAAATTCAAAATGAAAACAGAAAAAACCCACTCCGGAAGTGGAAACAGAATTTAGAGAAAGTGTAAATATGAGGAGGAAGGAGATTGAACCTTAACAGAGAGAATTTTAGGAGATAGATGAATATGTGTATGTGTGGATATGTGAATATATTTTTTATATTTTTATATGTGTGTACATGGGTATATGTATGTATGTGTGTATGTGGGTACACACCTATGTGTATATATATACATGTATATGTTATTGTGTGTATTCGCATGTGTTTTTGAACATAGAAATATAGGTCCTTGCTGGATTAGATAATTGTTATATTTATCTTCATATATTTATATTTGATTTGTAACCTGTAGTCGATATTAAATTTGTCAAATATTCTCAATTACAAAGCAGCCCTTTAAGTAAACGCAATTTTACTTTCCTTCGTCCCATCTCTCTCCCCACCTCGTCTTTCCCTCCCTCTTATTCTAACATTAGATTGTCTATGGTGTGTGTATGTCACCACGAAATGTATCTTTATGCATTATACATCCGTCAACATTCATTTTTTTCTCTTAATTAAACCCCTTCCGCCCATCTCTCCTAAAATTCTCTCTGTTATGGTTTAATCTCCCTCCTCCTCATACTTACACTCTCTCTAAATTCTGTTTTTATTTCTGGAGTGGGTTTTTTTCTGTTTTCTTTTTGAATTTGTAGGTCTGATGAATTGGATCGTATTTACGATTCCAATGGAATAAATTATGACCATGGAATATTAGTGTTTAAGCCTTTTTATTTTATATATATATATATATATATATATATATATATATATAAACAAAGAATTAAATTAATATAGCTTGCAACATTCTTCTCTAATAAGAAAAAGAAAAAAACACACACAGTATGTAATCTTATATTTTTCTAGGATAAATCCTACATAATTGGCTAGGAATTTAAAAAGTAATTATTTAAGTTTTCTGGCAAATCTTACAGCTTTGAATATGGTAACTCATTGGAACATGTGCAAAATATTTTTTCTTTTAAAGTAATGTAGTTGCCAGCACACTTCAATTAACATACAGCATAAAAATCTAAAAATGCTTCATAATAATTTGACCTTTTAAACAATTATTGTCTTAAATTTTTCACTGCAATATCTCAACCAGTTCTTATTAAATAATCTTGCTATTGTATTGTTTGACATCTGCTAATTATATATAAAGTATTATTCACCAATACATAATCATTTCTAAGATAATATGGTTTGTTTGTATTTCTTGAAAAGTATCAATTTTAATTCAGTTGTAAAGACAATATAAAATTGGTCAAATAATACTTTGATAGTTTTAAAAATCAGACATACATATATTTGTAGACTATAATTAATGCAGTCGGACATTGACAGTCTATCATCTTAAGCAAAATACTGTCTGCATCTGCTGAAATTAATTTTATGGTAGGCTTGATATTCAGGCTCTTATTTGATGAAGTAAGGACAATCATTTGGTCTGGGTCTCGTCTAACAGCAGAGCCTCATTTTGACCAACAGTACATTTCAGCCTTTTCATTTCAACAATGAAAAATAGTGTAGACCTCAATTAAGATCTTATAAAGTCTGTTCAGCTCTATAAATCGTCTTTCAATGAACAGTTAAGAGGATTAGTATGGAAAGTTTAGGAATGAATTCATGTTTATACCAGATATTTGCTGATCATTGCTAAGCAGTGACTGATTGCAAGCACCCTCAAATTTCCAGTACCTTTCTCAGTCTCCTTGCAAACTCCAACAAATATATGGCCTTCTTCAGATTTCCAACTCCTTCAATCTTGATTCCAGTGTATTTTGCTGCTTATTATTATTATAATATCAGCATTAACAGCAGTGGATACAACAGAAGTACAAACAGTAGTATTGACTGGGTGGGAATAGTGATCCTCTAGTAATTTTGAAGACAATTAAGATTTGATCCCACAAACCAGAAGCTGTCCTAGTGAATGGAAAAAAATCTACAGAGCTTTGAAATGCAGATGGATTTAGGCTAGGTGACTAGATCTAATCACCATGAACAGAGAGAAAAGTTGTTGTATATTAATGTTGTCTTGCCAGAGCACAGTGAAATGGAAAGAGAGTGAAAAACTGGAAAAATAACAAGAACTTGCCAGAGAACTGAAAAAAGTATGAAACACAAATGTGACAACTGTGCCTATCATTATTGATATTTTGGGGGCGTTTTGATATAGTATAATGGTTAGCAAGCTTGTCCTGCTAGAACAATTATGACCGAGTAGTGAGTTCAACCCTCACTGGGTGCCCCAGTCTTTCAGCTTTGTGTTACATTTGCACTATGCTTAGAAAATCACCATTGGGTACTTCAATGTGGTGTACTGGTTAGCAAGTTTGCCTTGCCGGATCAATCACAACTGAGTAGTGAGTTTGATCATGACTGGGTGCCCATACTTCAAGCCTTGTGCCACGTCTAATCTATGCTTAGAAAATCACCATTATTATATTCTTGAAATAGTCCCAAAGAACCTTGGGAAGAGTTTGGAAGATTTAGAAACAAATTAAAACCCTCCAGACTAGTAAATTAACTAGAATGTGAAGAAGGTTGTTGGAGACTTATAAGGACTTGCAATTATTTGACCTCCAAAGAAAGCTACTAGATGTGACTTGGTTATGTGTAAACTCAAATAAAATGGAACAAATAAACTGTTTCAAAACACTGGAGCAATATATATAAGCCAAAAACATATTTGGCTTTATTATTAAGTCCTTAATAAGCCAAGTGGATTACTTTTGTTGACAGGTCGTTGTTATGCGAGTGACTGGATCTAGAGAGGATGGTGTATATATTGATGATAAAGGTGAGAAGGCACCCCTTGTTGCCAGCCCACATGCAGTGGCAAAGGTATTTATACAAATTTCTAAACTTGATTTACCTAATAGATTTTTCAGATTATTATCAAATTGTCTTTCTTAATCAATAAGATTCATGGAATATTAGTTTTTATTGACTATAAAATTAGTCTTTATTTCATTAAAAAAAAATCTTAGTTTATTTAAAACTATTTTTACCAAAACAAATTTAAGATAATTGTAACAAAAAGTGTACAAAGTAAACTTTATGCAGTTTAGGCTTTCTGACTACTTAAATGCAGGTAATAATATAGTCTGAAAAATGTGTTAACATCCTAATTTTGGATTGAACTGTATTTTATTGTGGATTCATTTTATTTTTATATGATAAAACAAAAATTTTCCATATCTAGTGCTAACTTTTCTTTGCTTCTGCCAATATCTGTCACTGAAATCAAGAAGTAATCCCTTTGAAGTTATATATTTTAGACTTAATTAGAAAAACACTTATCTAAAATTTTATGTGTGTGCATAATTTTATATATATATATATATATATATATGTATATAAATTTGAAAAAACTCTGTATTTTAAACATTTTTGAATTTAAATTAAAAATTTTGATTACCCATGATCAGGTGCGAAATTTTCTTGACTCAGCTCTGCTAAACTTACGTGAAATGTGGATGAAGCGTATTTCATACACAACATGTGTAAGCTGTCCTTGTGGGCGTCCCTGTGATCTCCATCATAAAATTGCTTGTGCTCAAGAAATATGTCTTCATTTCTTGGATCTTGATGAGTGCCTTACAAAAAAGGTGAGTCAAGTACAAAATTTTACCTTTTTTGATATCACTGAAATGAAATGGAGTGATTATATTGAATCAGTTGTTAAGTCTGTTGCTAAGGAAATTGGTTCATTGTGTCATGCCAGACAATTTTTCTCAGAATTTATCTTGCACATTTATAAATCTACCATTCAGTATTGAATACTGCTGTCATATATGGTCTGGTGCTCATGCTATATATATCTAGATTCTTGACAAAATCTGAAGGGTCTGTTATATTATACGTCCTGACCTGTCAGCTTGACTTCAGTCACTTTCCCACTGCTGTGACATGGCTTGCCTTTGTCTTTTCTATAAATATTTTCATGTCAGTTGTTCTAATCAGCTCTCCTCCTTGGTACCTTGACTGTATGAATTTAAGCATACTACTAGATTGGCAACTCTGATCTCATCATTCTACTGTTGAAATAGCGAGATGTAACCTTAAGTTCTATTCTAATAGTTTCTTTCCTCACACTTCTCATCTGTGGAACTCTCTTCTGATTTCTTGCCTCCCTGCCAACTACAATCTTCAAAATTTTAAATCCAGTGCCAAACACCATCTTCTGTCTTCCTGAATTCTGTTCTTTTCTTTTCCTTTCTCCTTTCTCATTGGTACCACTGGGAGTGGAGGAGAATATGGTGTCTTAGTGGCATTATCACCTTGCTTGGGGTGAAATGATTTAAAAAAACAAAAAAATGTGTCATTATCTCATTGGTGGGGATGAAATGATTTTTTTTTTTTTTAAATTGATGGAAGTATGCAGTAAATTGTATAAGAAAAATTATAAAAAATGAATCTGTATTTTTAACAAATTCTGGAATATTTGAAATTTCACAGAAAAAAATCCATGTCTCTACATCAAAAATTATCTTTGGCATAAATATTAAGAGGCAATTATTTTTTTTATATATAATTTGATTAGCACAATGCTCCAGATGTTCATGGTTATATTTTCATTATTTAGGTAAGTATAGTAGCCATCTTCTTTAACTCAATGCTTTCTTCTACTTCCTATAAGCAGGTAAGTTACAAATTTGGGTTCTCTTGTGTGGCAACAACACATGAGCATTATATTATTAATTTAACCTTATTAAAAAAAAAAATTCAAGAAAACATGTCAATTTTTATTTTTTGTTTTTAT